GCAGCCAGAACTGGTGCTGTACGTGGGGGGCGTTGACTGCCACGGCGAAGACCGGCTGGGCCTTTTGGGGCTGAGCGATGAGGGTTTAAGAAAAAGAGAAGTTGCTTTTTTCAACGCCGTGCTGCAGCACAACAGACGCATGCTGCTGCAGCAGCAGCAGCAGCAGCAGCAGCGGGAGCAGCAGCAGCAGCGGGAGCAGCAGCAGCGGCAGCAGACGCCGCGAAAAGTGGACGCAGAGCCCCAGAAACAGAGGCAGCAGGGACTGCAGCTGATGCAGGCGCAGCAGCAGCAGCAGCAGCAGCAGCAGCAGCAAGACTTTCCTGCTGCTGCAATTTGCGGTGTGGTGGGAGGCGGATATGGGTGGCGCGTTGAAGACACCGTTAAGCGGCACCGAATTCTCTTTGAGTAACTAAACCCTAAACCCTAAACCCTAAACCCTAGAACCCTCTAAACCCTAAGCTACAGCCAAACCCTACTACAGAGGGCCTCATGAGTGCCTAAACCCTAGGCCTCGAAACAGCCGCCTTGAACCCTAAACGCCAAACCCTAAACCCTAAACCCTAACCCTAAACCCTAATTGTAAGCCCTCGCGGAGTTCTTCGAATGCCAAAGGGCTCTCTGACGAGCAGCTAAACCCCTGACCCTGGACTAGGGTTTAGGGTTTGGGGCTTAGGGTTTAGGGTTTGGGGTTTGCTTTTGCGCAGAGTGGCCAAAGAGTTTTGGACTGAGCGGGGCCTCCGCGAGGTGTACAGACACCCCAAAACCCTCAAACCCTTTCGCGCGCTCGACGTGCGCCCTCTGGAGCCCAAACCCTAAACCCTAAACCCTAAACCCTAGGCCCTAAGCCCTAAACGGTGGAGGCCCAGCCGACGGGCCCTCAAGACTAAACGCTTTTTGGCGGCGAAGGCTGTTCGGCGGGTTGCCAGGGGTTTAGGGTTTAGGGTTTAGGGTTCAGGGTTTAGGGTTTGGGGTTTATGGCGGCGAAGGCTTTTCGGCGGGTTGCCAGGGGTTTAGGGTTTAGGGTTTAGGGTTTAGGGTTTGGGGTTTGCGGACCTCTAATTCTTGTCTCAGCTCTCAGGGTTTCGCAGCCCCAGTTTCAGGGCCTACGGTTTAGGGTTCACATGTTTGTTGCATTAGGGTTTAGGGTTTAGGGTTTAGGGTTTAGGCACTGGAAACAAATGAAACTTTAACAGTTTGCATGCATTTAGTCAAAGGCAAAATTATATTCTAATAATAGGGGCCCCCATTAGCTGCTGGGGGCCCTTCTAGAGGGGCCCCCCATGGGGCCCCCTGGGGGGCCCCCAGGGGGCCCCACTGAGACTCACGAGGGGGGCCCCCAGGACTTGTATAAGGGCCTCTTTGGGGGACTTAACTGAAATTAATTAAAATGATTTAATTAAAAAGAAAAGAAGTTTTGATGATAAATAATTTAGCTCGAGTTGGGGTGTACGCGCAGCTCCTGGGGTGTACAGGCAGCGCTCCGAGCAACACCCCGCGAGGCCTAGAGTTTAGGGTTTAGGGTTTAGGGTTTAGGGTTTAAAGTTCAGAAGATGTTTCGTCTCTGAGGCTGCTGGGGGCGGCGGAGATGCGTGCCAGCGGCACCTGCCGTTTGTTGCTGCTGCTGCTTCAGCTGCTATTGCTGCAGCCGCTGCCGGGC